GGGGGGGGGGGGGTTATAGGCACTTTGTGATGTTGTTAAAGCAAAAATCTTCAAGAAGGATTTTGACAACATAAAGTTGCAACAGTAAACAAGACAATGTGTCCAAAGTATCATCTGTATCACACAACTCACATTTCCGACATAAATCGATCTGCCATCTGCTTCCATCTTTTCCTCGATGGACATGATGACGGGGCCGACTGCACAGGAGAGAGAGGGGGGAGGGAGGGGGGACAAATCTATATGAGCCACAAAATATTTCCAAACAAAAGTTACACAATCTAATGTGAAATAAACTGGCAAGTCCATCAAATGACAAGAATGAAGAGCAGTGTATCAAACACAGGTCTGAGGTCTGAGGTGAGGGAGGAGGGAAGGTCCCTGGGTTTGTATGAGCTGAATCTGGTGACGGGTTACATGCTGCTAAATTAAAACAAATACACCTCAAAGTACTGCATAATTACCTCCATTCAACATCATTCTGGTTCTTCATTTTTTGTTACCATTTTGCAAAATGAACCACTACTTTTTAATGTCCTATAATATACGACTTGCTTTGCAGATTGAGCGTCAAGTGATGATTTTATTAGAGTCTGAAAGAAGTCACACACTGGAGTAAGGAGTCAGTACTGCTGAATCAATAACACAAACACGCTTTATTAAACTAACTCCTGTACCAACGTTAGAACTGCATATTTGTTTGTAAGTCTTTACACACCAGCACACCAACATGTGGATGGTGGATGAAGACAAGGAATTGCACTACCCTTATATCCTATTACTAATCTGAACTATTATTTCAGTGTACATTTTAAAATAAAAACGGGTAGTTGGGTTGCGACAATTCATTTTACTGTGTGATTTTTCTTCAAAATTGGCACAAAAGCAGTGGAGCCAATTTATTTATAGTGACAAACTTCCTTAATTGGATGATGTGACAGTAGAGAGACAAAATGTGGACAGATGGGAGGACAGAAGAGGTCTCCCCCTCACAAAACGCACCTGGTGGGGGGCTGAGATTCATCTGTTTCTCCACCTCGTTCTGTAGCTCCTTCAGCTTCTCTGCCTCTTCCTCCATCTCTCTCACCCGGGCTTTGATTGCCTCCAGCTCCTGCAACAGACACAAATCCCATTAGAGCCGTCAGTCCATCACGAGCACAATACAACTCACTGAAACATTACTCACACAGACAGTCGCCAAGGAGGACTGATGTGCTACGCTAACAAATGCTGACCAACTACCAGCTCCAGCCATGAAAACGCATTCATTAACATCCCTTTGACAACCGCACAGCCTGCGGAAGACGGTTCAGTAGCAGGGAGATGCTGAACCAGTGTAAGTGATGGTGCTGTCACAACTTCTCAGTCTAAACAGAAACATGTTTGTGTGTTTCTTCCCCAATCAAAATAAATAAATCACACATTTGGATCACTACAGTTGCAATGCCTCTCATCCTTCACATTTCTACATTGTTTTCTCCACCCAGCCTGAATTTGGGAGCGGCTGACCCCGGCAGCTTTAAAATGACATTTAAAGGAATTAAATAAGTGCCCCATTAAGCCCTGATGTGATTTAGTAGCACTGAAAACATAATGGACACAGAAAAACTGATGAACCAGTGTCACACGCTCGGTGTTCACATTTCCTGTCACTTCTCAATGAGTACACAGCCGATATACAGAGGCAGCACTTAGAGAGAGACCACACAGAATCTAAATGAAACTAAAGTTCAAACATTTCTAAAAATACTACATTTGAATAAAACACGCATTGTTGAGTTTTTTACCATGTACACACACAGAATGCCAACATGCTTATTTCTCCGTCAGAAACAACATTTCTGGCGGACACGACTCTGCGCTCACGCACCTGATGATGGCCATTTGCCATTATTTCATTTTAAAAACAGAACGTGTCAATAAATAATCTGCCAACAATTAGAAAATCATTTTTTTGCAGCTTTAATACCAGTGGAATTCAACCATGATGGGTTTGAAAACAACTGGAAATGTATTCGGGGCCGTGATGATGAGCAGGCGTGAGGCCCGAAGAAAAACAATCAGTGCCAATAAATGAAATAATAATTTGATGGTGAACAGAGAGGCTGTGTCCTCAGTGGGAGCGGACCCTCCTGTCTGACAGTGGTGCACTGCAGCACAGTGGGAGTCCTTCCAGCTCCATCCAGGGCCACTGCCTGTGCTGACAGCGTTTGTAATGTAAAGGCTCTTTGTACAGCGGGCGCACTGATGCAGACAGACCATATTAAATTCGGCTCTTCTCAGCAGAGGAGAGCAAACAGCACCATCGCTCCTCTCATCCCCACTGTATCCATGTGCCTGACGAGCTCACACATCAAACATCACCTTCAGCTACCTGCACCGCAGATCAGAGACCGTCAGCCTCATTCACAGCCGGATTGGTCAAATAAGCCCCCCGACGCTGACACGCTGTGGCTCCCATTTTTGTCGCATATTCAGTGCAAGCTCTTCCACTCCCCTCCCTTCTCTCTTTCTCTCTTTCTCTC